TCTCCAGACATTGGTCAGCTGGAATCTTACTGATGAGCTGGTCCAACCCATCTTGTTGTAGCCAAGTCACTTGTGCAAACTTGGCTGGGACCCCAGGTTCAGGCCAGGGCTCTCTCTATGGCCCCAGGCTTTACACTAAGGGCATGTCAACTGTTCTCTAGAATCGCTTGGACTACTTTATACTTTTGTGGCTCCTTTCCCTATTCTGTATTCTGGAAAAACAAAGTTCTCCTTGTGATTGAACAGAATCTTCACACTGTGTTATTGCTGGCATTGTTCTAAATTTAGCCTTGGTTCATCCCTGGCTGGAGTGAATGACTTTAATTTGATCAGCTGCTGTACGCCCTTGGGAGCCTCCGAAGGAGGACCTATGGCCTTTAAGGCTCCTTTCCACCGTTAGATCCTGACTTGGGGCCAACACACGCTCCAGCTTGTTCATGTCCAGATAAGACACCCAGAGGCCATGGCTAGGGTTCCCCCTGTCGGGGCCCTATTGCCGTTGAAGGATCAAGGCAGCAGTCAGGGCCTGAGGGCTGTCCAGAAGAAAGCACAAAGTGTACCAGGTGCTGGTCTGACAGCACTTAGGGGTGTGACAGAAACCTTCTGTCATAAAATCAGATGTTGGAGACCGTGGGAACACATCCGAATCCACATCTCCGTGACAAGGTGGTGCTGATTTCCAGTGGTCCTCCCTGGTTGGGGAATCACATAGCTCTCACTCTGGAGTGTGGTGTTGTGTTTCTCTTTCAGTATGAGCTTGTCTGAGGCCCTAGAGTTCCTCCTTATGAAACAATGATGCCTCCCAACACAGGACATCCCAGGCTGCAAGCCTGTCCCTTCTGCCCACCTTCTGCACTCCTGTGCCCCAAAAGCCCACAGCAGGGCCTGCCAGAGGCTGACAACACATCTGTCACTGTCCCAAGGGGGTAGGGACAGCAATGGAAATATTAGGCCACAAAAGGCATGCCTACAGGCACATAGGATGTAAACACCCAAAGCCAGATGTCAATGAAACAGTAATTGGGTGGAATGGGAGAGGCCATATTCTCATGCAAGACTGTCTAAATAAATAAGTCCCCTTGGGCACAATCTGCCAGGGGACAATGGCTCACGCTGAGCCAGTTAGTAAACTGCCTCGCTAAGAACTTCCAATGCACACTTACACACACAGATACACACAAATATGCATGCATACACCTGCATGCACACACACACCCACACACATGCAGGCACACATACAGATACACACATGTGCCCACACACATACAGATACACACACATACAGATACAGCAAACACACATGCATGCACACACACGCATGCACACACACATGCACATGCAGACACACATGCATACACAGATACACATGCACACACACAGATACACATGCACACACATGCAAACACATGTGCACATGCAGATACACATATGCACACATATGCACACACACAAACACACGTGCACATGCACACACATGCACACACACAGACACATACAGATGCACACACACCCACACACAGACACATGCATACACACATGCACACAGATACAGACATACACATGCACACACACATGCACACACACGTGGACACACATGCACACCCATGTGTGCACACACACACAGGCACCTACGCACACACATGCACATGCACACATGCACACATACACATCATTCCTCTTTCCATTTCTCTAATTTCCCATCTTTTTCTATGAGCTTCCTCAGACTCATGATCTTGATTCTAGAATGAATTCAGGGAGTAAGTCTGCATTATTGAAATGACAGTAAATTCAAACATTCCTACAAAGCTTTTTCAATGTTGAGAAAACCATCTTACAGATCACTCAAACGGCCCCAGGAGACACTGTTCACAAGGGACTCTTAGACATCCTCCTGTCCCTTCCACCAACCTCTGTGCTTCAATATCAGGGGACAAACCTCTTGATTTTGGTTTCTCATCTCCTTGTCCCCATGAACACTGGACTACACTACTGTGTCAAAGCCACTTGCAGCCTGACCTGGGAAATGTACTTTTGGATTCACTCCATTTGCCACCTATTTGGGTGGTTTGGGCTGGAAACTGCCCTGCTTACACTCTTGGCTCCCCGCTGCTCCTGCTTTGGGGGTGCCTAGAGACCTCAGCTCAGCCCGTGGGTCACATCCCCCCAGTGGGGCCAGGGATGTGACTGAGAGTTGTCTGGGCACCTCTCTCCAGCAGCAGTGAGGATGGAGCTCTGTGCCATGTGACACTGGCTGGTGGCCACTGCCTGTTTAGGTCGAAATGGCCCAGCCTGATGTCCACACGCACTTCAGTGGCACACTGGCCTGCAGACCCCCGAGCATGTGCTGCATGTTTCCCACCTCTAGAGTGGCCATCCAGACAGTGACACAGACACATCAAGAAAACCCACAGGCAAGTCCAGAGGTGCCCGTTCCACTAGGACCTTGTGAGCCTCCATGATTTGAGTCACGAGCTTCTTGTGGTGATTTCATTTAGCTAACATCCAACCCAGTGCATTTAGAGACTCTTTCTCTTGGACATTATATGGAGGTGTGGTCATGGCTTGCTGAGATCCATGTCCCAAAACATCCCTCAATAAAACCAAACAACAGCTCATCAAATCCTTACATTTTTAAAAATTTGACATCTTATAAATAGCATACATTGGATGACAATAAGGCACAGGAAAAGGCTCATAAGCCCAGATCAGCAGTCATCATTCGACTGTTCTGACTGTGCACCTGTTCTGTACCAGCACCACATCCTAGATGCAGGGACACGACACGAAGTAAGATGACAAAGCACCTGCCCCTGTGGAGCTGAGCCTCTAGCAGGAGAGATAGTCACTAAAAAAATAACTCTATCCTGTGGTTTCTGGGAATGACAATCACATAAACGGATAGAAAGGGATGGAGGCAAGCTAATTTAGACAACTCAGGATCAGAGTGGGAAGGTGACTGTATCCCTCAAAATTCAGAGTAGCTGGAGTGCAAGTCTTGTATTAGCTCGGCCTGAATCCTGGCCCTGCCGCTGTCCATAGCGTCCTCAGGCAAATGGCTCAATTCCTCTGACCACCGGCTTCAAGTGCAGAACAGAGGACCAGAGTCCCATCTTTCAGTGTTGTTGCTATGGACTGAATTGTGTTCCCCCCAATTCACTCATCAGGAGTTAATTAAGGTTAAAGGAGGTCATAAGGGTGGAGTCCTAATCTGATAGGATTGGTGGTTTTATAAAAAGAAGAGATTTCTCTGTCTCCATCTCTCCTACTCTCTGCCACGTGAGGACATAGCAAGAAGGCTGCTGTCCACAAGCCAGGAAGAGAGCCCTCACCAGAAAGTCATTGGTGGATATTTTCATCATGAACTGGCCTCCAAAATGGTGAGAAAATCAATATCTGTTATTTAGGCCATCCAGTCTTGGGTACTTTGTTATGGCAGCTGGGCTGGCTAAGGCAGTTGTTGAGAGGAACCGACAAGGTAGTTGGGGTAAAGCACACAGCACGGCCGCAGCTCACTGAGCACAACGTCAGTCTTGTTCCCCTTCAATCATTATTCTCTGACTGGAGGATTTTCATGATGGCTTTTCTCCAAGAAGCTCCCCGGGGACTTTGTAAATATGGGGATATTTCTGACAATAAAAATCCTTACAGTTCTTAACATTGACAATGATCAGGAACAGCAAGACATGAAAATGAGAAGGTGGCTAGAAAAGAGAGGACCTGCAGAAGAAACCAACAACCACTCAACACACGCACAGCAGGAATCCTGATGCAGGAGGACAATAGAACAGCAGGGGACCCCAAGACTGAACTCTGCATCTCATGTATTGAGATCATTCCCTGATATGGTTTGGCTGTGTCCCCACCCAAATCTCATCTTGAATTGCAGCTCCCATAATCCCCACGTGTCATGGGAGGGACATGGTGGGAGGTAATTGAATCCTGGGGGTAGCTCTTTCCCCTGCTGTTCTCGTGATAGTGAATAAGTCTCATGAGATCTGATGGTTTTATAAAGGGGAATTCCCCTGCACAAGCTCTCTTGCCTGCCGCCATGTAAGACGTGACTTTGCTCCTCATTCGCCTTCCACCAAGATTGTGGGGCCTCCCTAGCCATGTGGAATTGTGAGTCCATTACACCTTTTTCCTTTATAAATTACCCAACCTCAGGTATGTCTGTATTAGTAGCATGAGAACAGACAAATACATTCCCTAAGGCTCTATTTTCCTCTGAGACAGGCTTACCCCAAATAGCCCCATCTTTGCAGGCCTCGAATAGTAATACTGTTATGTGTTACATTAACATGTATTTTACTGAAGGTCTCTGGTTTTTGTCTCTCTGAACGTAGGCAGGCATTGCTGAAACTTGCAGATGACATTCCAAAATACGTTCTATCTTAAGATAAGCAGAGAAGGTGGTGAGGAAAAATTGTACACACCTTCCCCTCAGTGAAGACGTCCCCACAGTGTGGTAGGCCTTGGTATAAGCCTTTTGGCTCTGTTAATTCATGAGGGCTGAGTCTGACTGATCCTCATGGAGAGGATTAACAAGGGAATCCTTGGCAACCATTAGGAGTAACACTCATGACCCAGAAAGTGGCTCTGTCTTCATGGGGCATGATCTGTCTTGTTTACTAAGTGACCTTCTGGCTCATTTTTCTTCCAGCCAGGGTTGGAATTCAATAATCCTAGTTCCTTCCCAAATTTTAGAGCTGGGAAATGCATTCCTTGGGTTTCTACTTTTCAAAGGCAAAAAACATCTGTGGAGCTCAACTCCTAAATAGTATGACTTTGCCTGTTTCTGTGGTTCTCTTGCTGGCTACCTGGTTGTGACTGTGCCTGAACTCAGGCCTCTCTGTTTCTGAATCTTAGAAGCGGTGGTTGGCATGTCAAACTTGAAGTCATCGTCCTTTAGTTATCTGAGTGTTATAATTGAACGGCACATTTATTAACAAGACTTTAGTAAATCCATCAGCATTCTAGGAAGCTTTGATTCATTGACCTACCTCTAATGTAAGCAAAGGCTGCCAGAGAGTTGCTAACAAGAATTCCATCTTTCCTCAGAACCTTTGATTCGCTTGGGTCGAAGTTTATACCTGTTTTGTGAAAAATGCAAAACCAATTAATCACAGCTGTTCATAGTTCACCTATTCTAAGAGACCCCTGCTACTCCTACCCCAGGGACTGCCGAAATAATTAAAAGTCATGGAAATCAAATAAATAGGCCTCTGGCTAAATTATGGAAGATTAACCCAGGAAGAGCATGTATTAAATAGTAAGCAGTCCCTGAAAATATTAAAGTACAAAAAGGATTAGAAATTGTTTTAAGTGTTGGTTGCAACTTCAGGTGCTGGTTTTCCACTCCACTGTGGAAGGGAACAAATGGACTTTCCCATCCTAAAGACAGTGACATTCATCACACCCCTCAGAGGCTTAATAACATCTCACTTTATTTTATTTATTTATTTATTTATTTATTTATTTATTTATTTATTTATTTTTGAGATGGAGTTTCACTCTTTTTGCCCAGGCTGGAGTGCAATGGCACTATCTCATCTCACTGCAACCTCTACCTCCTAGGTTCAAGTGATTCTCCTGCCTCAGCCGCCTGAGTAGCTGGGATTACAGGCACGTGCCACCACACCCAGCAAATTTTTGTATTTTTATTAGAGATGGGGCTTCACCATGTTGGCCAGGTTGCTCTCAAACTCCTGACCTCAGGTGATCTGCCCACCTCGGCCTCCCAAAGTGCTGGGATAACAGGCATGAGCCACCACACCTGGCCAATAATAGCTCACTGTAAGCATGGAGTTGCTGTCCGCTGTGTGGCCAAAGATAAAACAAGCCTCCATTACCGGGGGGAGGTTGTAATGGGCTACTCTTTTTTGGAAACAACAGCAAAATGTGGGGCAAATCTGCTTTTAGATCCTGGTTACACTGCTGGATGGAGCTTAGCAAGCCTGTGATGGGGTAGCCTGGTGGCTTGGGGGACTCCTAGCCGTGTCAGACAGGACAGATGGCTTTGAGAAGAGATGGCACAGCACTGGCTTTCAGGCCCCCACTGCAGGAGGACCAGGCGGTTTATGGATCGGGTGGGAACCCTGTCAGAAAAATAAGTGGAGGCTGGGTGCGGTAGCTTACGCCTGTCATCCCAGCGCCTTGGGAGGATGAAGTGGGTGGATCGCTTGAGCCCAAGAGTTCGAGGCCAGCCAGGGCAACATGGCAAAGCCCTGTCTTTACAAAAATAATAATAATAGTTAATTAATGAGTTAATCTTTTTAAAAAAGAAAGAGAAGTGGAGCTAAGGAACACAGAGCCTGCCAGAAAGTCAAGGTGACCAGCTAGGAGGACACAGAAGAGCATTACCAATAGTTCTCTCTGAGCTTTTGGACTGGGGTGCTTTGGTGTGTTTTTCATATCAAGCATACTTTACTTTTATACTTAGGGTGGAAAGACCTAATACATATAATAAAGGTAACACAAGACAAAACTCTCACCAAAGCCTAACATCTTAGATGCTCTGCTGGGTCTCTGCAGTTTCTATTAGGGACCCCATGGGTTTGGATTCCATTCTAGATTTGATAAGAAAATCCAAATGTTCAACCCCCTCAACCCCCCACCCCTCCACCCCATTTACAAAAGCCAAGTGAAAGCTAAGGAGGGGCCGGGTGCAATGGTTCACACCTGTAATCCCAGCACTTTGGGAGGCCAAGGCGAGGGGAACACCTGAGGTCAGGAGTTTGAGACCAGCCTGACTAACATGGTAAAACCCTGTCTCTACTAAAAACACAAAAATTAGCCAGGTATGGTGGTGGACACCTGTAATCCCAGCTACTTGGGAGGCTGAGGCAGGAGGGGAAGGGAAGGGGGGGGGGAGGGGAAGGGAAGGGAAGGGAAGGGAAGAAGAAAGGGAGAGAGGGAAAGAGGGAGGGAGGGAGGAAGGAAGGGAGGAAGGAAGGGAGGAAGGAAACTAAGGAGGAAGGTGGCATGTACAGAGGTACAGAGGCCCTCAGGTCCTAGCTGGCCCTGGGCAACAAGAGTGAAACTCTGAAGAAAAAGAAGGGAAGGAAGGAAGGAAGGAAGGAGGGAGGAAGGAAGGAAGGAAGGAAGGAAGGAAGGAAGGAAGGAAGGAAGGAAACTAAGGAAGCTAAGGAAACTAAGGAAACTAAGGAAACTAAGGAGAAAGGTGGCGTGTACAGAGGCACAGAGGTCCTCAGATCCCAGATGGCCCTGGCTCCTACGCAGGTTCCAATGGACTCAGCTTTGCAAAAAGCTCATTGTGTAACCCAGGACGCCCAAATTTATTTCTGAGCAGATGTCTTTTCAAAGTGATTTTCCTTTTAGCAAGTGAGAGGAGAATGAAGGGGAGGTTTATCCTACTTCTGATTTTTAAAAAGTCAAAACGAAATAAAATGGTGTTCACCATTTGCGACTATTGGCCAAGGCACTATCATCACCAGGACCAGAACCTGAAACACACCTCCTGACACCTTCCATTCTAACCAAGGTGTGCCCAGCTGTGGTCACCCAGGGGCTGTTTACCTTTACTTAAAGAGAAATGCTGGTAGTAAGCCATAAAAATTACCATATTCACCATCTTTCTGCTTCAAAGAAGGTTTTAGATTAGCAATGGCTGGATCAATCGCTGTGAGTATGTTCTTGGGAACTAAAAGCCGAAAAGAAATATTTTAAATACGTGCTGTATTTTTAAAATGTGGACTCTTAATATATTTTTAAATGCAATGTAGATAAGATTTTAAAATCACTTTCCAAATCACAGCAAGAATCACTCACTCTTCCTGCTAGATACACAGACATACACACAGCCCAACGGTATCCACGTGATCATCAAACGCCCCAGAAAGGTGGTTTCAGGTCCATTTTGCAATATTAAAAAAAAATGGAAAATAAAAACAAGATATGATATATCCATCCAGCAGAATACACCTCCATAATAAAAAGGAATGAAGACCCGGCATGGTGGCAAGCACTTTGGGAGGTCGAGGTGGACAGATTACTTGAGGTCAGGGGTTCGAGACCAGCCTGGCCAACATGATGAAACCCCGTCTGTACTAAAAATACAAAATTAGCTGGGCGTGGTGGCACACGCCTGTAATCCCAGCTACTTGGGAGGCTGAGGCAGGGAGAATTGCTGGAACCCGGGAGGCAGAGGTTGCAGTGAGCGAAGATCACACCACTGCATTCCAGCCTGGGTGACAGAGTGAGACTTCATCTCCAAAAAAAAAAGTGAAGTACTGATACGATACATGCTACAACATGGATGAACCTCTGAAACATTACATTCAGTTAAACAAGCCAGCCGTGCACACACACACACAACCATCCATTGCATAATTCCATTTGTATGAAATATTCAGAAAAGGCAAATCTAGAGACAGAAAGTAGATGTGTGGTTACCTGGGACGGGGGGATGGGGGGTGGGAATGGGGCAGTGATGGCAAATGGGCACAATGGAGCTTCGGGGAATTGTGAAAATGTTTTAAAACTGGAGGGTAGTGATGGTTGCACAACTCTCAATTTACTAAAAATCATTGAATTGTATTCACGTGTAATAGAATTTTAAGGAAGATAAACAACACCTCAATAGAGTGGTTAACTCTGGGCCGGGCACAGTGGCTTATGCCTGTAATCCTAGCACTTTGGGAGGCTGAGGCAGGTGGATCACTTGAGTCAGGAGTTCAAGACCAGCCTGGCCAACATGGTGAAATCCTGTCTCTACTAAAAAATACAGAAATTAGTCGGACATGCTCACTTGAACCCCGGAGGCGGAGGTTGCAGTGAGCTGAGATTGTGCCACTGCACTCCAGTCTGGGTGACAGAGCAAGACTCTGTCAAAAAAAAAAAAAAAAAAAAAAAAGGGTGGTTAACTCTGAAGATGAGCTTTCCTGGACTTAGTAAAGCAAAATGACTGTGACCAACTCAAAATCCACCATCAAACTCTCCCAGCACCTACTCTTCTGCTTTCTACCCCAAGCTCTTTGCCTCTGTGTTTCCATCACAAATCTGGAAAGAATTCGAAGACTCTGTGCTAAAGTGATTTGCTAAATATTATCAGAAAGGACTACAGAAAGATGCAGAGAGGATGGCAGCATGACCGACTCCTTTGAAGGTGGTTTAAAACTCTGCTGAACCGACCCTAAGAATAAGCCCTGGGATATCAGAATCCCCATGCAAAGCATTCGGCAGATGACAGCACCCGCTGAAACAGACGGCAGAGCAAGAATTCTGCAGGCCAAGCACACTGCCGCAGGCTGGGAGAAGAGAGTGGAAACCGAATATTCCTGCTGCAGAAAATTGCTCATTTTTGTTTGTTCCTCAGCCCAGCTGAGATCTCGGAGAAGTAGCAACAGGAAATGGAAAGAAAGCCAAAACAAACTGCGAATTCAACTGTACTGCTTTTTTAAAAAGAATAAGTGAGACATCAGCAGCAAGAAAACCTCGTTTCCTTTCTCGGAGGGCTTAACCAAATTCTGCTGGGGATGTCCCAGGATCAACAACCACAGGACATTCCTAGATTGTGAGTTTTCCACGTACAGGAGGCCCTGGCGCCTTCGTGCCCATCAGCAGCAAGCGACACTTTCCAGGGAGGCCCGGTGGAGTTGCTGGAGGTGGCTCATGATTTCCATGGCCTCGAGAAATGTCCCTTGGCTGTCCTCGGGGCACACCACTGATCCTGGGACCATGGCAGCTCAGGAGAGCTGAGCTGAGCTGCAAAATGCTTTCTGCTTTAATTAACTCGCATTCATTTCTGGGCCCTGAGAAGGATGCAGCAATAGCCTAGGAAGTGTCACCTCTCCCTGCCAGGAGTGGCACTTCTTTCTTGTGTCTGCTTCTTGGTTTGTTCTCAAACTATGGCTTCAGGAGGACCTTGGCTCTTGGCAAATGCCGGAGGCTTTACAGTTTGAGAAAGCATCAGAGTTTTGTAGAGGAGCTCAGAGAGGAAGGGCATCCTAGGATGCACTTTGCAGAATAACCAGGCGGCGAAAAGATTAAATTGGCTGTGTATGACACAGGCCACTGCAGGGAATGTGCTCCTCTACTAGGTGAAAATGGCTCCGATATCTGGAGAATCTTTTAGGACCTTTAAAATCACCGTTGTCAACACACTTGTCAGATTTTTGCATCTCCTTGTTTCAAACTGGTTCAGAATGAGGTTGGGGACTGGGGTGTGATTGATCACCGTCCCGCTCCACTTCAGATACGTTGGTGAAAACACTAGGAACTACTCTTCATGGATCTCCTACGGTGTGCAGGACACTGTTCTCAGCAGTTTAAACCAGGGCCATCTTCCTCCTCATCAATGCCTTTCCTCTCCCACTCAGCAACCTCAGTGTCTCGGCCCCTAGTGTGCAGCTAGCGTTTATCCCCTAGTGTTCACCCTACAGGATGGTTCTCTTTGGAAGACTTAACCCACCACCCCAAGCTAAATTAGGCCCCCTCCGCTGTTACAGTCTTCTGCCCTTTTCTAAAATAGCATTTGTCACAATAATCATGATGATGTGTCTGGCTATTCGGTTAATGCTTGCCTTTCTCCCTCAACCGTTCACCCCATGAAAACAGGACTGTGTCTCTCTTTTTTTTTGAGACGGAGTTTCACCGTTGTCACCCAAGTTGGAGTACAGTGGTGAGATCTCAGCTCACTGCCAACTCCGCCTCCCAGGTTCAAGTGATTCTCCTTGCCACAGCATCCCAAGTAGCTGGGATTACAGGCATGCGCCACCATGCCCAGATAATTTTGTATTTTTAGTAGAGATGGGGTTTCTCCATGTTTTCCAGACTGGTCTCGAACTCCTGACCTCAGATGATGCGCCTGCCTTGGCCTCCCAAAGTGCTGGGATTACAGGCGTAAGCCACCATGCCCGGCCGTGTCTGTTTATTACAAAATCCCTGGCACCCAGCACAGCTCCTGACACAAAGAACAATGTGCTGAATGAGTGACAGAAGGAAGAAAAGCTTGAACTGGGACATGTGACCCCCAGGCCCTGAAAGCTCATCTTCATCTCAGCATTAGTGATAGGGTTTGGCTCCATGTCCCACGTGTTGTGGGAAGGACCTGGTGGGAGGACCCTGTGGGAGATGATTGAATCTTGGGGTGGGGGTCTTTCCTGGGCTGTTCTCTTGATAGTGAAAGGGTCTCAAGAGATCTGATGGTTTAAAACATGGGAGTTTCTCTGCACAAGCTCTCTCTCTGCCTGCCACCATCCATGTAAGATGGGACTTGTTCTTCCTTGCCTTCTGCCATGATTGTGTGGCCTCCTAGCCATGTGGAACTGTAAGTCCAATTAAACCCCTTTTTTGTAAATTGCCTAGTCTCGGGTATGTCTTTATCAGCAGTGTGAAAACGGACTAATACAATTAGCTAAGAAGAGCCTCAGCTGTAGGAACTGTTCTTGCCTCATCCTTGAAAGCACACTAGAAACTGCACCTTTAAAAAAAATGTGGGCTGGGCGCGGTGGCTCACGCCTGTAATCCCAGCACTTTGGGAGGCCGAGGCGGGCGGATAACAGGGTCAGGAGATTGAGACCACGGTGAAACCCCGTCTCTACTAAAAATACAAAAAATTAGCCGGGCGTGGTGGCGGGCACCTGTAGTCCCAGCTACTCAGGAGGCTGAGGCAGGAGAATGGCGGGAACCCAGGAGGCGGAGCTTGCAGTGAGCAGAGATTGCGCCACTGCACTCCAGCCTGGGCGACAGAGCGAGACTCCGTCTCAAAAAAAAAAAAAAAAAAGTTTTAGCGAATGTTATTGTACAGAATAAAAAAATACATCATGATTCTGTAATGATTTTCTCTCCCACAAGAGCATGGGTGAAAACCAGTAACTTACTTATAAAAATATTTTAATTAGACTCTAATAAGATAATATGTACCTTCATACCTTGTCTTCTGAGTATCTAAATGCGGAGAGGTTCACCCGAAAAAAGTTTTCCCCAGGAAACCCATGGTTTCTTGGCTCAACGGACCCATTAAAAAAGTCCACCTAGATCAACTTTCTGCCAATCTGGAGAAGATTTGTTTTCTTTGATCTCATGTCATGTATTCACAAGCTTCTAAAATATTTGCCAAAATTAAAGTCTGCTGGATGATTTTTCCCCTAACCCATATTCTTCCATCCATTCCAAATACTATTTTCAGTGGATAGAGTTTTCCCACTTCCTGTTTGACTTCCGGATCTGAAGCTAACAGCTTTCTAATGAATCCCAGCCACCTTAAAAAGCAGACCCTCCTGTCCAACAAGTCATTCCATTGCCTTATCCATAGCTGTCAATACAAACCATCTCTGGTTCCATGTCTTTATTAGCAGCCACAAATTGGCCATACATGAGATCTCCAACCTGCACATTTGGTCTGTTTCTTTTAGTTGCACCTTCAAATGCCAAGTAAGACAAAGAAACTGGCTCATTCCCTCCAACATCAACTCTGAATACATCTCCAGATTTAGCTGTCACTATGCCAATCACCTGGTCTCCTTTCACTAGAATATACTCCGTTCCCAGGGTTACAGCGGCCCCAGCCCAGCGGTGTCTCAGCTTTCCCGGTCCCCAGCCAAAACTACACCTTATTTGGAGGCTAAAGTTCTGCTTCTTATTCAACACTCAGATGAAGAGGTCTGAAGTTACTGGAACCTCAGAGTGACCCATGTCCAGTCTACCATCCTCCACTCTACCAGACGAGCTATCCAAGGATGCACTTAGAGTGACCAATGTCCAGTTTACCATCCTCCACTCTACCAGATGAGCTATCCAAGGATGTACTCAGAGTGACCTTTTTGGCCTCTGGGGGAACCTCAGCCAAAATGGGCCCCATGCTACTTAGAGCTGCTTAGACATGACAGTAGGAATAAAGACAGAGCAGGTAAAGCCATTCCTCCTGTGATATAAGAGTAGGTGCCATTATTTTCATAATACATTTATGTAGTCACTTCATCATATCTATTGTAGCATTGATATTGCAGAGAACAACATTTTTAGTTCAGGATATAAAAGTCTGAAGATGCAATGGAACATTATTATGCCACAAAAAGGAATAAAGTACTGAGACATGCCACAACATGTACAAACCTTGAAAACAGATGCTAAGTAAAGAAGCCAGACAAAAAGCACCACATATTGTATGATTCCATTTCTAGGAAATGTCTAGAAGAGGCAAATCCATAAAGACAGAAAGTAGATGGGGGGTTGCCTGGGGCTGGGGCAGGTATAATGGGTGGATTTGGGGGCCTGACTGCTAAGGGATACAGGGTGTCTTTTGGAGGGAGGAGAATGTTCTTAAATTGATTGTGGTGACGGTAGCACAATTCTGTGCATATACTAAAAACCACTGATTTGTATGCTTTAACAGGTTAATTGTATGGTCTGTGGATTATATCTCAAAAAAGCTGTTCCAAACGTAAAATGGCTAGGAATGTTTGGCAGGGGAAAAAGAGATTTCCAAGAGAATAGGTATCGGATTCTTCAGTTTTAATGCTCTTTGCTTTCCATTTGCTTTTATGCTCATTTCAGAAAAAAAAAACAAAAACAAAAACAAAAAAACAGTCAACATATTAGGATTACAAACTGGAAATCCCAGTATCCTCAGAAAATAATAAACTGCTGATTTGCTTTTAACTGGCTTTATGAAATTAGAATCTAAACAAAGAAGGCATTTCATTTTATCATTTAAAGACATTAGGAAAACAAAGTAATGCTGTCGTGTAACAATTTTTATTGTTTTAGGGTAAGCATTTGATCTGTTGACTCAACACTGTGGGCATGTAGATAAAATAGCTGTTGGCAGTACAGCGAGTTAGTCATTTAGGGCCTAAAAGCAGAACTGGAAGGTTAAATAGGAGACACACAATACGACTGTGAACTCACATGACATCCCAATAAATTTACCCAGATGAAAATCACTGTTCTCAGTGACATCAGTTTACCCCTATTTGGTTGTTCTTTCTCCACCCTCCCATTGGCTGCCAATCTGATTGCTAAAGGCGCTTTTACACAAATTTTGACCAAAGAAAAATCTATTGCTTATCTGACATGAATATCATAAACAAGAATAAGAAAGAAAAAAGGGCTCCTGGATATCTGGGATGAGCAAACAGCTTCAGGAGGAGCATGTTTGGCTTGTTCTGGGCACACTCCTGCCGTTCACATGATCACCACCCTCCCCCAAAAGAGGCAGGGTCTTCAGGCAGCTGGTCGGGGAGGGGGGTGTTCTTACCACATGCGTAGGTCACAGTGAGGTATTTTTTCACACCTGGCAAACAGGGGCTTCCAAAATGGTGATTGTTGACGATGATTTTGCATCTCTGCTTCCCATAGCACCTTCGGGACAGGACTTGCGAAGCTGAGTAAGACAAGCAATCTGAAAGGCAGGAGACACCCAGAACTTCACGTTGCATCCCAGACAGGGCCACCACATGGCCTACAGCATTCCGTGTAAATAGATATGCTGAGCTGGATTCAAATCAATTGGAGAGTTTCTCTGTTTATTTTCTGTCTCATGAAAGCACCCAAGATGGGCAGAGCCAGCATCATGATCCTGTCCTAGAAGTCCCAGAGCTGGGTTTAATGCTCTGCTGGCACCATCTTGAAATTCTTTTTCTTTCTTTCTTTTTTTTTTGAGACTGACTCTCATTCTGTCCTCCAGGCTGGAGTGCAGTGGCTTGATCTCAGTCACCGCAACCTCTGCCTCATGGGTTCAAGCAGTTCTCCTGCTTCAGCCTCCGGAGTAGCTGGGACTACAGGCACACACCACTACGCCCAGCTAATTTTTGTATTTTTAGTAGAGACGGAGTTTCACCATGTTGGCCAGGCTGGTCTTGAACTCCTGACCTCAAGCATTCCGCCTGCCTTGGCCTACCAAAGTGTTGGGATTACACGCGTAAGCCACCGTGCCTGGTCGAAATTCTGATATATTTTTGAACAAGGGGCTTTGCATTTTCATTTTGCACTGGTTAAAATATGAAGAGCATTGAATGAAGATTCTTCATTCTTTTATGACCTTTACCATGCTTTGAAATATTTTATTTGTTTGTTTATTTTGAGAATCAATCTTCTGTGCATGAACATAAGCTCCAGGAGAGACTATTTCTGTTTTGTTCATCATCTAATTCCCACACCTCGCCCACTGTAGAGCCAAGTAAATATCTGATGAATGAATGAATGAAATAAACTAATTGACATGAAGATTTGTTTTTGGGCACCCTGGCACAACATCATTAAAATCAGCAAATATCAATTGAACATCTATGGCAGATGAGGCACTGTGCTAAGTATCATCAGAAAAATCAGTAAAAAGAGGACCAGGCACAGTGGCTCACGCCTGTAATCCCAGCACTTTGGGAGGCGGAGGCAGGCAGATGGTCTGAGGTCAGGAATTCGAGACCAGCCTGGCCAACATGGCGAAACTCCATCGCTACTAAAAATACAAAAATTAGCCGGGCATGCTGGCGTGTGCCTGTAGTTCCACCTACACGGGAGGCTGAGGCATGAGAATTGCTTCAACCTGGGAGGCAGAAGTTGCAGTGAGCCGAGATCGTGCCACTGCACTCTAGCCTGGGCAACAGAGCAAGCCTCCGTCTCTAAAAAATAAATAAATAAAAGCCTACGTTGCTTTCACAGGATTTGCAATAGAGCTAGAGACTCAAAATGCACATGTGAGAGCTGGTGTCTGGTAGTGGAAACAGTGAATCAATGTCAGCAAGACATGGTGCAGACAAGAGGTGCTAGGTCAGAGGCGGAGAGATCGCTGTGGGTGATGAAAGAAAGAGCAGGAATTGGGTAGAGGCAGGCAAGAGAGAAAGCAAGAACACTAAGGCAGTGGGCTAGGAGCCCCTGCAGGGGCTGGCCACAGGCTGGAAGGGCGGGAGTAGGCGGGGGTGACCATGGCGAATGAGTGGGAAACGTAAACTGGAACAAGACAGAGACGCTTTCAAAGGCTTAGCTAAAGAATTTGGACTTTACTCTGCAAGCAACAGGGAGCTCAAAGAAATGGCCTGACACTATTGTCTTTAGGGGACAGTGTAGAGGATTCCCTGGGAGAGAAACGGGAACCAAGGGCAAGGAGAGCAGTTTGGAAGCAATTTTAAGAATGTACGTTGGGGGGAGTTACAGCCTTAAAAAGCAAGGAATGGAAGAGGAGAAAATTTTAGAGACTTTGCAAAGTTCCATTCGCTTACAATATAACGGGTAACATGATGTGAGCCACTGTTCTCAGCACTTGTATAGTGAGAGACTATTTTTGTTTTGTTCATCATTTAATTCCCACACATGGCCCACTCACTGTAGGAGCCCAGTAACTACAGATATTTATTTATCGGGCTCCTACAGTGGGCCAGGTGTGGGAACTACCCTATGAGATAGGCTGTTTGTAACACACACACACTTGTGCACACACACACTTACACACACATCGATTTTGCGGCTGAGAAAGCAGACACAGCGGGGTTCAGTAACCTCACACAGCTAGAGAAAACCGGGGCCTGCAGGTTGATCTCTGAGCCCCACTACCCCGGTCTCCATGAAAGGGTGGGTGAGGGACTCAGGGTTTCAGATCTCAAGCTGCAGGGCTGGGGAAACAGTGGTGCTATTGAGAGATGAGGGAAGTTGTTAGGAGTAGGCAGTTTGAAGGACAAGATCATAAATTCATAAAAAAAAAAAAAAAAAAAAAAAAGAAGAAAAAGAAAAACTGTCCTGCATTTGAAGTGGGCCGAGATTTTGAAGAAAAGGCTCAAATCTGGAGATGCCTGTGGGGGGTTCATGCCCAGAGAGGCCAAGGGCCGGTGCTGTGAAGAAGGGCGGGTCAGGGAGAGTATGAAGGCATAGGGGCAGGGACCCCAGCCACACAAAGTCCTGTGCATGTCTGCTCACATCTTACAGATGACAAACTCCTCTACCCTCTAACAACAAAAACTGCTCTCCCCAGTTCCCAGGACCTCTCTCCAGCCTTACGCTTCTCCTTCAGTCAGGCTTCTAGAAAGGATCTCTATGCCTTCCCTGCATCTCCCCTCCCGCCCTGTCCCCTCCCTCCTCAATGTGTCTCTGTCCCATGCACACCCTGAAACTGATCCCTTTGAGGAGATCACAGCGATCTGTCACCACCCCATCCCAGAGATGAGAGCTGATCCTAATCCTTCCCCATCTCTGGAACTTCTGGTGCCTAAATGCCCCTGTTGGGGGATTTCTCACTGACTTTGGCTCCCGGGTGCTCATCACCCTGGTGGTCTCCGATTCCTCTATCGCGGCGCCCTCTGCAGGCCTGCCCACCCAGAGTAAGCTCATTCCTGTGCCTGGCGGAAATTTCCATACGTTTTTGAACAAGGGGCTTTGCATTTTCATTTTGTACAGGGCCCTGCAAAATGCACTGGGTCTGGGCTCTCTTCTCCTTTCTCCTTTCTACACACTCTATTCAGTCCCAAGTCCATCCCTGCCACTACCAAACCACAGAGAGCCGAGGCCAGGATCGCTGCCTTCAGCGCTGGCCACTCCGGTCACTCCGCCATGTGCAATGATCGCCTTTACTCTTTCCAGCCACCTCTGGCTCCACACATCCAGTCTGCACCCATTGTTTCCTCCTACTCTCCCGCCACAGCCTCAGTTCCAGCCCTGTCAGTTTTGCTGCAATTCTAGCAACTGGACTCCCTCCCTCCATTTTCTTCCCTTCATATGGTTCTCTCTTTGCCCTCCACTGTGCCCTTTTTTTTTTTTTTTTTGAGACAGAGTCTCGCTCTGTCACTCAGTCTGCAATGCAGTGGTGCAATCCTGGCTCACTGCAACCTCTGCCTCCCAGGTTCAAGCAATTCTCCTGCCCCAGTCGACCAAGTAGTTACAGGTGCCCGCCACCATGCCCAGCTAATATTTGTAGTTTTAGTAGAGACGGGGTTTCACCATGTTGGCCAGGCTGGTCTTGAACTCCTGACCCCTGGTGATCCACCTGCCTCAGCCTCCCAAAGTGCTGGGATTACAGGCATGAGCCACCACACCCAGGCCACTGGGCTCCTTCTAATCTCATCCCTCCCTGCCTGCTTAAGATCCCCCATCACCCATCTGACCAAGTCCGACTCCTCAGAACTGTGCACAAGGCCCCACATGACTTGCCTTTTCTACCTTCCTAGCCCCTTCACAGTCGCTATTCTCCCACCCCAGCCTGTGTTGCAGCCTGCAGGTCTCACAGAAGCGCCAGAAAGCCAGGCTGCGACTCTTGACATCTCTTTATCTTTGCACATGCTACTCTGCCTGCTAGGAAATACTTCCTTCTCCCCTGTCTTCTCAGTTGTGCCATCTCCCCCGGGCGGCAGTCACTTGTTTCCTTCTCTCTGCCTCTCCTGTGCTGTGTATTGCTCTCACCGCATGGCTCTACTTACTTGCTCATTTGTCTCTCTCCAGACTAGACAGGGAGCTCTGGCCCCCAGCACTTACACTGGTCCTGATGCTCAGTAAATGCTCAAAAATTACAGGATGAATGAACAAAGGGAAGGTTATAACCTCCATCCCTTCTGAAGCTCCTCCTTGACTCTTGGAGCCTTCTCCTGGTGTCTTCACCACCAGGCATTGGAGCTGGCTGCTCAGGGGAAGAAAGTCTTGAAGTGGATTATCCAGGAGGAAAGGAGAAGGATTCATGAGCAGTGGGTGCATGAGTGCATGAGAGCCCACAGCTGTGAGATACAAGGAGACTAAAATGGAACCAGAAGCAAGAGAAAAAAACACCATGGTTTCACATCCATGTTCATAGCGGCATATTCACAATAGCCAAGAGGTGGAAGAGACTCAAGTGTCCTTTGATGGATGAATGGATAAATAAAATATGGTATATACATAGGATGGAGTATCATTCAGCCTTAAAAAGGACTCACTGGACCCCTTCCTTCCATTTTCTCCCCTTCAAATGGTTCTCTCCCCTTTGCCCTCCACTGTGGTCTTTCTTTTCTTTCTTTCTTTCTTTTTATTATTATTATACTTTAAGTTCTAGGGTACATGTGCATAACATGCAGGTTTGTTACATATGTATACATGTGCCATGTTGGTGTGCTGTACCCATTAACTCGTCATTTACATTAGGTATATCTCCTAATGCTGTCCCTCTCCCCTCCCCCCTCCCCACAATAGGCCCAGTAATGGGATGGCTGGGTCAAATGGTATTTCTAGTTCTAGATCCTTGAGGAATCGCCACACAGTTTTCCACAATGGTTGAACTAGTTTACAGTCCCACCAATAGTGAAAAAGTGTTCCTATTTCTCCACATCCTCTCCAGCACCTGTTGTTTCCTGATTTTTTAATGATTGCCATTTTAACTGGTGTGAGATGGTATCTCATTGTGGTTTTGATTTGCATTTCTCTGATGGCGAGTGATGATGAGCATTTTTT